AACATATCGAAAGCTTACTCCTTCTTGTTTAGCACATCCATGGCAGCAGCAAATGCACCTACCCCTGGAAATATGAGGCGTTTAGCATTCATTATGTCCTCGGGTGTTTGTACCTTTAACAAAATACAGATTTGCGTTAATTTCTCATTCTAATAAATTCTACTGTCTTATAGTATTTTTTTACAAAAACAGAGAAAGAAAAAAAAAAGTTATTTTTCATTTAGGCCGTGTTTGAGCCACCTAGAATGAGAATGAAAAATATAGCCGTTATTGATCGATAGAAAATTTGAATTTAAATGTTGATGTGATGGATAACGATGATATTTTTCATTTTAATAAGATAAAAAGGGCTTAATTCTAATACCTTTTAACTGTTTTTCCCCTTCAAATAGCAATTTATATGAATAATAAACTTGTCATAACGAGAATTATCAAAAAAAATCAGAATTAAAAAAGAAAGTATACAGAGGTAAAATAAATTATAAATTACATCTTTGATGTCAAAGCCAAGAGACCGAATTGCGTTTCTGACACTCCGCACATTCCCAGCTCCGTAATCAAGCAGCGTTACCACTGTCAACATTTTAACCAGAAAGTTCAAAACAAACAAAGGCAATTGAAAATTACAACCAAAAGAATGAAGTCCCACATCTTAACACATAAACAAGCACTTTCTTCCTTGCATTTAGACATATCAATTGTACATCGCATAGTTAACATATGTCTACATTTATACCAGAGTCATCGTCAACAGAAGAAGAGGCGCGAATTGAGAACCCTTTCGAAGGTTTCAACTTGTGAGAACTACGCCTTAAGAACTGGAGGGAGTGAGAACCGGAGGCTTTGAGTGAGGACAGTGTAGAATAAGAGGATCCTGCAGTTGGAATCTGTGTAGCTGAAGTGAATGTCGCCGCCTCCATTTTCGTTCGTGCAATTTTCTGACTGAAGCTCTGAGTTTGTACGGCGGCGTTTTGAGTCAGATTGAAAGTAATGGACGGATTTGTTAGTTTCTTTTCACCGGCCCATACTAAAAAGGAAAATGGGCTAAATAGAACTATAATAGCCCAAACTCTTCTTTTGAAGACCCAAATCAATTTCATTCAACGGAATTAAGAGCTTATTTGGGAGAAATTTTAATCCAATTAAAATTGAAAATATAGTCGTTATTGGGTCTCACTCGTCTAATAAAAGTTAATAATAACAGCTAATTTTTCAATTTTAATCTCTACAAAACAAGCTCTAAAATTGGAAAATTGACAAATTTAACACTGACATGAGCCAATTAAAAATTTTAGGAACTTCTTTGTGTTTTTTCACTTTATGAGTCCACTAGTTATAAACGAATATTATATTCAACACAGGATAAGTCGATTTTCAATTTTTTATACTTAATATTCAACATTTAAAATCTGATTTTAATCTAAATCAAAGTCAATAATTATTTTTAATCCTACATTTCGTGAGATTTACAACTTTTCAAAACCACCATTCATCAATTTTTATTGAAATCTAGTATAAATCTACCAAACAGAGGCTTAATTTTGTAAGAGTACAATTTTAGATTGAACATAGAAGTCAACCATGAGAGACGTAATCCTCCACAGGAGTAGGGGATGAGAGCCAAACCAAGGAGACAGTGTGAGCTGAATAGGTTGCGGAGTGGGGCGGGGGTGCGAATGAGAGTGGAAAAGAAGATATAAGGCATCACATGTTACGAAATATAGCAAGCCTATGTCTCAATTTTCCTCCTACGAGTTGATTAATATTGCTGCAAATCAAAGTGTTCATTGCTTTCCAGGAAAAATAATTGGGCTTAAGTTTCAAGGCCGGGAAGGCATTCGATGCGTGATTTCAAGCAGTTTCTTAGAGAAGCATATAGTCTTTGTTTGACTCTCATTATTTTTAAAATACATTTTTTCTCTCTTATTTTCAACCGCACATTTTTCAATAAAATAATATTACACAAAAATTCAAAAATTTTCATTATTTTTTAACCACATTTTCTATCAAAATACTTTTTCAAAACACATTTTCATTAAAAAATGGGACTCAAAAATATCTATAATCTCAAATTTGCTCAAGTATCTGAAATCAGACGGCCGAATTTAGTGCTGGTATCTCGCATCAAAGCAAAATTTCTACTCAATGCATAATGAAAGTATGATAATTTTTTGAAAATTCCCTATCGACGGCATATCTAAATAATAGATATCTATGTAACAATTTCTGTTTTGGAGTTTATATATACTCATTTATTTTGTTATAATAGAAATTGAGAAGGATTTTTTGATTGAAAAATTGGAGAAGACGGAAGAGGAGATGCCCTGCCACTAGACGTCCCCTAAGCGCTGATCCCAAAGAAAGCAGTTGGCTCTTCCAGCATCCATGCATAAAGAATTAGTAAGCAGGGTTCTCAAAATCCGAACTACAAGGAGCACTTCTAGTCTAGTCTAGTAGTTTTTTTTTTTATAT